AGCCTGCTTCACGCTAGCGACGAGCGACCCGCCACTCATGATCAAGTTTGCAATATGCCCCCGGGCTCCTGCTCCCGAGGGCGATTCTCAACCAGTTGAGTGGCCTCGCGTCGAGTCTCTGTGCCTCGGGCTGCTGTGGGAGACCGCGTCGTGTAAGGCCGACGGCATCATGGCGGAATCGTTGGCGGCGCGAACTCAGGCTGGCCTTGTGACCGACATGGTGGAGCGAATCGTCATCGAGAGTCCGAGCGAGGCGGCGGTGCTGAAGAGGATTGTCGACATCAAAGAACACTTGGGCAAGGAGTCCCAGCCTTTCGACTTCAGCGTGTGTGACGACGCGCGAAACCTTTCACGAAGGCCAGTCTCTTCGAGCAGCCCTACATGGACGTGTCCGCTCTCGTCGTCGCAGGCGACGCGTTGACGTGCATTCGCGAGGTGAAGCCTGTGGCAGGGGCTTTGCGCAAGATGTATAGAATGATGCTCTCCAAGACCGACGCAGTTTCGACGCGTGTACGGAATCTAGCTACCGCTGCAGGGGTGAGGGCACGCTCGAACAGCAACGTCATGAACATCGCGTGGGATCACCTGGTCGAGCTGCTCGCCTCAGATGGCAGCCTCGCCATTGCAGATTATGTGAAGGAGGCTGCGGCGGCTGCCGGCCAGTTCATGGAGACGGTCTTGGGTATCGCCACGGGCTGAAATGAGCCCAGCGGCAAGAGCGAGGATGCTCGCAACGCCGTCGTGGACGTTTGCGCCGAGGAGCAGCAAGATATCTCAATGAAATTCTGCGCCACGCGCATCGTGCATGCAGACTCGAGCGACTTCGAGGATAAGGTCCACGCGGAGAACATGGACATGGCCAAGGTGTAATACGCGTTCATGTGCAATGCGTTGATGAGCTGGTTCAGCGTGGAAGATCTCCAGGCGAGCTGCCAATCTAATCACGTCGCTGCCCCCCCCCCCCCGCCCCGAAGGTGTGGGGGGCCCCAAGGGGGCCGCTGAGTCTGGTCCTGGGGGCGCTGAAGTCGGCCGTGGGCTGACCGCTGGTCTTTCCGATGAGGTTCTCGGTCCGACTCGACTCTGCGCCCCCCTCTTCCACCCTAATCGGGCGGCCTGGAATTTCGATGGGGTTCGGGGGGCGGGCGGGGGGGAGGGGGTGGTGGTCATGCGACTGACGTGGTAGTTTGACGTTTGACAGCTCGAGGGGAAACTATCGCGCGCCCTGCGCTGCGAGGTTGAGGATGACACGTGGGGCGAGCTCTATTGGGTTGGAAACGTCTTGGAGCATTGCCCTTCTCCGCGCCGAAGTCCCAGGCCCTCGAGGCCACCCGCGAGAAGATGATCCTCGCGCGCCATGTCAAGAGTCTGCGGATGGCGACCCCCACGGTCGCGGAGGACTCCGCGACGGGGCTCAGAGAGCGGGCGAAGGCTCACTTGATGGACCTGGGCCTGAAGCCAGCGGCTGACCAGGAGGTGAACGACATCTTGGACGACAGCTTCATGGCCTTCTCGCACAACCTGAACCACGCTTGGGCTGGAGTCCAGGTGGCCACGTCCGTGATGTCTTACGTCCGACGCGTCGTGCACTCGCCGTTCTACGCTGACGCATTCTTGTCCGTTGCGAAGGAGTTCGAGAGCAAAGTGCCCGATGATGTGAAGGCGCTCTTGGTGTCAGCCCGGAGCATGAAAGCCTTGGAGAGATCGTTCGGTCGGGTCAAAGACGGCAGACAGATCGGCATGATCGAAATGACGAACGCCCTCATGGACGCGAGCACCGTCACGAAAGACGTTCGCGAGCTGGAGTCTTTCGGGAAGCATGGGAATGAGCTGATCAGGGCGCAGAACTTGCGCCCCGCGACCTCGCCAAGCCCGGCGTGGGGAAAGACGTGCAGCAGTTCTTGGACAAGGGCAGCGGCTTGGAGGAAGCCTTGAACAAGTGGTCGTTCAAGGGAGAGCTCACGTTTCTCACCTCGGACGGCAGTGGCTCGGCATGGGCGGCGACGATCAGGCGCTTCGAGACGTTCATTGCCACGACGCCTATACCCGAGCGCATATGTGAGTTCCTGGTCTCCAACGCCTCCATGTTCAGGTGGGCTGACGACAAAGAGATGTGCGTGGTTCGGTCTCTCAGCGAGCACAGCGCCAATCGCTCGTCGCTTGCTGTGAGGATTGACAATGCTATGTCGGAGATGGTGCTCGCTAGTGGCATCAAAGCTGCGCCTGCGTGCGCCGCCCAGCGTTCGTTGGAGCCGACTGCGGGCGTCCCGCCCAAGCGTTTCAATGCGAAGCTCCAGGATTTGAATCGGGCCTTGCAGGGTCAGGTTGCAGCAGTCCTTGCCAGGCCGCCAAACACCAGCGGCGAGAAGTCTCACATCAGCGTGGGTACCAAGTCGCCCGGCTTCTCGCGCGTCGCGGGCAGTGCTGGCCCGTCGAAGTCGACAGCTGCCCCTGCAAGCGACGGGCCGAAGCCAACCCTCAAGAAGGAGGGTTCGCAGGCGCTGCAATAGACCGGGGATTGGGAGTTAGGGGCCCGAGGGTTCTCAGATAACAGTCGAGAGGACGAGGATAGGAAGGGCGAGCGACCTGCGAACCGCGACGACGAGCAACATGGATGCGAAAATGCGATAACACCACCGATTCGGTGGCCACGAGAGCTCTGCCGCCCCCTTTTTTTTTTTGGGGGGGGGGCGCCTGGGCCGCCCGTCTCTTTCGAACAGCTCGGAGAGGCACTGGCCTGGGCTCGAGGCTCGAGGGGTCCAGTGAGCACTGAGAAGACAGGCCATTGCTGGCTGTCTTCTTCTTCTTACCCGCCCCTCTCCCACCCATTCTCCGCCCTTGATCCGCCCGCCCGCCCATCCTTCACTCGCCCATTTCCTCCTTCCTCTCTTCTCCTCCCCTGCCCGCCCCCCCCCCCCCCTCTTCTCCTTCCTCTTTCCTTCCCCTCTCCTCTCGTGCCTGCGCTGCCGCCGACGGTGTCGCCGCTGTTTCCCTCGTCGCCGCTGTCGCCCCCCCTCTTCGCGACGATGGAGGAGACGGGCAGAGCAGGCACGAACGCGAGCGAATAGTAGGGCGAGACGTGAGATCGGGAGACACACCAAGATCAATAAAAACAGCAGGGTCAACCACGACCCAAAGCGTCAACTGAATGAAGATGGGATGGCAGGTGGTGAGAGGAGGGGAGGGGGGACGGGAGGACGCCGAAGGAGAAGGGGGAGGAGGATAATAATGGGGAGAGAGGAGAGGAGAGGGGAGGAAAGAGAGGAAAGGCGAGAATAGGGGAGGAGGAGGAGGGGGAGGGTGGAGGAGGAGAGGGGCGGAGAGGAGAGGGGCGCCGTGCCCCTGTGCTCATGTGCGCATAAGTTCTTACACCGGGCAATTTGCAGCCTTAGTCGGTTGCTTCCGAGGGGCATGTGTGGACACCTACAAGTGCCCCAGGGTAAGATCCGAACGCGTTCTCCCCGAGCCCCCCCCCCCCAGTGCCCTCTACTGTTTTGTGGTAGCGCCCTTTACAAGTCCTGCCGTGGCTTCCCGATGAATGGGGGCGTGGACCTCTGAGCTCTATCCTGCCTCATTTGTTTCCTGCATCCTCTCACGAATCCCTCTTTTCCCAATTTGTAGCAGTAGATTTAATGCATAATTGATTCCAGGCTTGTCGGGGTTCCCCCTCTGCTTGCGTTACCCCCGCCGATGCCCATTCCCTGGTCAATGCTAGGTTGAGGGTCGGGGCTAGACGCAGCAAAACAATTCGTGCTCTCAGTCCTGGTGCCAGCGTAGACTGATTTCTTGTCACGTTTTGCTTGTCCTGGCAAGTGGTGGGCCCCGCTCCGTTCTCCTTTCCGTCGCTTCCTGTCTTCGCCCCTCGTCGCGCCGCCGCTGGCTGCTGTCGCCCCGCCGTCGTCGTCCCACCGCTGGCGGCGGATCCACCGTGGATGCGGTGGTGCTGCAGGACCGCCCGGCCTGTCGCCGCCCTTGCGCGCCTGGGGATGGATGTTCCAAGGCAATGGTTTTGGTCGGGTCGGCCAAACCATTACTTTCGTCTCGGTCGGTGCACTCCCCCCTTTCCTCCTCTTAAGGCACCCGTGCCACTGGGTGACCTCCCCAGGAAACAGGCGGGTTACAGCCGGGTCGTCGCCCCTGTTTGCCCGTCGGGGCCAGGGGCCCGTTGGGGCCTGGAACCCGTTGGGGCCAGGGGGAGAGACAATTGCACCTCGCCGCCACGTTTCTTCGCCCCTCGCGGTGGCCCATCAGGGACTCTGCCTGGGCGCAGGCGGGTGGGGGTTCCCCTACGGGGGGTTCGTTGGAGGGATCCACGCCCGTCCTTCCGACGGCCGAGGTCTCCCGCCCTGCCGTGCGTGGGTGTGTGGTCGCCCGAAGGAGTGGTGCCCCTTCGGGTGGCTTATCAGGGCGGCGCGACCTGGTGTGCCTTGCACGTGGTGCCTGCGTTTTTCTGCATTCGTGCGGTGTCTCGCCTGCCCGTGCCTGTTTCGCTTTCGCGCTGATCAGTGTTGATTCCAAGTTGGTTCAATGGTCTTCCAGTCTATTGTGATTTATCCCGCTTCCGTTTTTCGCCGCGCCTCAGCGCCCAGCTGGCGACATTCCGCTGCTTGCTGACCGTCAGTCCACAGTTGTTGGCTATAAATTGTGCTGCGCCCGCGCCCGCTGCGCCCGCACTGGGCCCTGGCCCCTTCGGGTTTTTACGGTTTGGGGAGGACCCAGTGCGTTTGCGTTTTTTTGTTGCAGTTCGCGAGTGTTTTGTCTGGGGCTGGAGTATTCGCCTCACCTATATTTCCTCTCGTCCGCAGGTGCGGTGAGCTGGTGGAGATTCGCGCGTGGAACCAGCGCGGCTGGGTCCAAACAGCCGCGTTCTCTTTTCACCCTTCCCCCCCCCTCCCACATCCCCCGCCCGCATCCCCATTCCGCTCCATCGCCCCGCCCCCCCGTCCTCACCCCGCTGCCGGCTGAGCATCGCAAGTGTGAATTTCCGCGCCCCCCCCTCTCAGGACCGATGGGGCTCCAGGGGCGCCCCAACGTCCAAGGCCCAG